TTTTCTCTGTACCCCCAGAGGGACAGCTGCCAGAGCCCACACTGTGCTGCACTACTTTATCAGGAGGCTGACAGTAGCATTAGGTGCTGGCCTTTTGCACACACAGCAAAGAACTAGGCACTTAAGGAAAGATTTCCAAAGTCCATTTAAAGAAAACTGCCTTGTTCCCCAAGGGCTTGCGCTCCAAGTCAAGCAACACTAACCAAGATGTAGATGTGTATATTTTTAAGTTGTTTATGCTTTACCAAGACACAAAAAGGTTTTACTCAGAGTGGTTTTCTGAATGGGAGATAAACTAGGTCTGGGCGTGAGCAGTCTTCTTCATCCATCCCCGAAGCGCAATGCCTGCCTGCCTTGTGGCGGGAGGCAGGCTTACTGTGCCCCATTGTAGACCACAGCTCTTCTCGGAATGCCAGTCCCATTGCTGCTTTTTCAAGCTGTATTTACTTGGTGTCCAGGGCGGAGGCCTCTGGCCCTGGTGCTAGCTGGTGTGGGTGCCTTTCTTTCCCACTGTTCTTGGCTTGCAGAGACCCCTTTGGCCTTCAGGCTGGCTTCCTAGGGTGAGCTCCTGGCTAGCTCCCCATGCTGCAGGACAGCAGGAATCATTCTGACTGTATTAGGGGACTGAGAAGGCCTGGCCTGCTAGGCTATACACGTATGAAGAAACGAGTCAGGGTCTGTCTGGAAGAAAGCAGAAAGGCCCAAAGTTTGTGGCTTCTATGCCTCTACCCCTCATATCAACTCTGCTTCACAGTCTGAGGAGCAGCTTGACCTAATCCAGAACCCAGACAAGGCCCTGCGACCTCACCACTGTGGACAGCAACAGCAGATAGCCCTTGGCAAAGGCCTGTGCCAACCAGACTGCAGCTTCCAGGGCCTGGAGCTGAAATCGCCTTTCCCACCAGTACCAAGAACATTCCCTTGGGAACATTCTTGCCACTTCCTCCCAGCTGGGTCTGGAGAGAGCCCAGATTGGTGATTTCTTGTCAACATAAGGATTTCCCCAGCAGGAGCTGGGATGCTAAGCCAGCCATGGTGGCCATTGCAAACCCAAAGCTTTCTAAATGTTTCTCGAAGCTCTGTGGGTACACTGTAATAAGTTTCTCTGTCCTTTCCCTTGGCAGAAGTCATTTAGAATCATCCGTTTTCCTTCCTTCCTTCCTTCCTTCCTTCCTTCCTTCCTTCCCATAAACTGCAGGGCAACATATGCCAAGTGTCTCACCTGGCATTTGCAGCTGAGGATGCTTGGTGGTAGGCAAGAATGGGCTTCTTGGCCATGCAATGCCCATCTCCAGTCTCCAGGATGGCAGAGGACTAGCCACAGCAGACAGAGAGGAGGGCAGGCCAAGTGCTTTTCAGGGCTGGGCTGTGGACTAGTGTTGGGATGGCGGATGCAGGATGGACTAATGAAAGGAATAGGAAAAGGTACCATCTTTGAGAGCTGTTTTTTTGCCTCTGAAATATATGATAGTGACAGCCCACAGTGACCCCCATCCACATGTTGCCCCCTAACTATGAGAAGGCACCCAGTGCTAGCACAAAGGGGATTCTCCCCAGAAATCCCTGGCTTGTTCCTCTTTTTCTGTCCCCATAGAAGATAAGCCCCTTCCCTTCAGGCCTGCCCTGAGGTCTCCCCGCCAGACTGTACCAGGTGCACTCTACTCAGTTGCCCTCAGCCTTGACCCTTGTACTCCAGAGAGGAGGCAAAGCCTCCCCATTCAACTCCTGAGTCAGGGACCAGCTGATGGGCCGTCCCCACCCCCTCCCGCTGCTATGGTAACAGCAGGCACTCCTGCTCCTGCAGAATATTGCTTTCTTGTAACCTCCCTCTCCCTCCTTCTTTTCCCCCCTTCTTTCTCTCACACAAAAAGAAAGCACAAGTGTTTTATATTCATTTTGCAAAAAAAAAAAAAACGCTGTGTAGCGCATACTAATTGGTGTGGCTTCCTCCTGCTTTCTTTGAGCCATTCCCCATCCTCAGAGCCAGGACTCCAGGCCAGCCATGGGCATGGACCCAGGAGAACTGGATCTGTTTTCCTAGAGGCAAAGCCACATGGGCCACATGAGCTCCCTAGCTCTGGAGTCCTTTCTCTGTGGATGGTGTCTTGGGAAGCAAGGCTGCCAGAGTCACCTGGTCCTCATTCAGAGCTTCCTCCCCATGCAGCAAGGGCTGGGGGGTCTCTAGAAGAGTGGGGCACCGTGCCCTGCAGGGCCTGGACTCAGGGCCCGTCCAACTAGGAGAGCAGCTTCCTGCCATCTCTAGCTCTTATCAGAGTCCCTTCTCTATCAAGGCTCTCCTCCTACATTACAAATCCTCAAGGTGCAAGTCAGGTCCAGTGAGCTCCAGAGCTGGAGATCAAAGACCACCACACACTCATGGTGCCGCCCAGTCTGTCCCCACTGCCCAAGCAGCAACCTGTGCTACACACTCATGGTGCCTCCCAGTCTGTCCCCACTGCCCAAGCAGCAACCTGTGCTCCGTCAGGCCGCCCCTTCTCTTCCTCACTTCTGTAAAATGGAGAGGGTGATGTCATTGTTCCAATTTCTGCTTTAACCCTGGTGTTTACATGGGTGTGGGTGTGGGTGGGTGTGTGTGTGTGTGTTTGTGTGCACCCACATGAGTACAAGTGGTGTTGCCCCAGGCAGGACTGTGAGCTTTCTGACAGCCCCAGAGAAATCAGAGACAAATCATTTGATGTGTGAGCACAAAAGGAGTGGCTGGGATTACCAAGGAACATGTAGACAACATTTCCGGCTTGAATTGTGCAATCGAAGTATAATTTGCATCCATTTGCCATTTGGTATTAAACTTCCTAAAATAAGGGAAATCAAAATGTGAAATATGCAGTTTTGTTGGCCATGATCGCTAGTAGGGAAGCGGAGGTACAGAGATGCACATTGTCTTCAGAAACCCTTGATGTGGGCACTGCTGTCCCAAGCCAGGGTGACTGAACAGTAACTGTGAGTCCAAAAAACATGTTACAGAGGAAGTGAGCCAGCCTGTCTTTGTGCCCACTTTCTGCACTTGGTGCATAAGATACAGTCATTGCCTGTATCTTTAGGGGATATGTTCCAGGATCCCCATAATGCCAGAATGCAAAGAGGCTTACATCCCTATATAAACCTACATACCTACATACATCATTCCATATGCTCGAACTCATCTCTAATGCAATGTAAAGAGTTATACTGTATTGCTTAGGGAATAATGACAAGAAAAATGTCGACGTGTACTACATTTTTTTCCCTCTAACTTTTTCAATCCGTGGTGGCTTATATCCTCAGCCACAGACAACCAGGTATAACTCCTCTAGTCTGAAGGGCAATCTTGGAAGGTCAAGCTCATTTGCATATGTGGGGGAACTGAGACTCCCTAATACTGACAAAGCAGACTGCTTTGTCTGGTTCATAAGCGTATGACCATCTGTCCCAGTCATTCCCTCTGGCCTGCAACCTCTCTGGAACTAGACCACAGCTTAGTTTCTGGAATGTGCTACCTCATTCCTGCATTTGTGAGTAGCTTATGCTAGTTATGAAGATGCTTCAAATGCCTTTCTCACCTTTTTCTCCCCATTCCCTTGGCAAACTCATGCTCAAATGCTTCTGGAGTCTCTGGCTCCCCTCAGGCTGAGTTGCTGGCTCCAGCCTATGTTGTCAGTAAATGCTTACCCGTGGGTCCCCATGAGCCTGTGATTCATCAAAGGCAGAGGTTGGCCAACCCAGCATCATAAATCCTGCAACTGGAGAGCTGGAGTAGCTTCTCGATAGATACTGGGAGAAGGAAGGCTGTGATGGATGAAGTTAAATGGCCCAGGATCATGCACCTGAGGGCCAGGGTACAGATTAGAAGTTATGATTGTCTGGCCACAAGGTCCTGAGTAGTGTTAATGATCAGGCTCAAGTTGGGGGACCAGATCTGGGTGTGAGGAGACTGGCTATACCTTTGAGCTAGGAACTGGCCAGACCTCAGTGAGACTGTTTAAAGGTAACGCTGATGACAGGCGTTGGTTCTGGCTGGCAGTACGGACAGCTTCCTCTTCTTCCACATACCATGGAGCCACTCAGAAGTCAGGCCTCACATGCTGCTGACTCTTCCCAGACAGCTTGTCTAATGGAAATAATAAGCACTCACCAGATACCTCCTTGTTGGAGAAGCACGTTGAGCAGGTGTCACTTGGCTTTCTTGCGCACAGCAGGTGTTCTGCCACTTGATCCATACCTCCCATCTAGCATTTTCTGGGTAATTAGAGATGGTACCTTGAAGAATGTTCTACCCAGGCTGACTTTAAACCTCAATCCTCCAATCTCAGCCTTCTGAGTAGCTGGAATTATGGAATAAGCCCCCAGCTTCAGGCTTCCTGCCAGGAGAAATGGTACAGCTTTTACCAAGGCTGTTCTACCAGGGATGTTCTGGATTGTAGGGACAGCTCAGGGTTGTAACACTATGTGACTTGCACTCACTCTCCGAACTATCTCCCATACTCCATTCTGCCTCTTGGAAGACCTCAGCAGGCAGGTAGTCAGGTTCCAGAAGCTTTGCTCCACCCAGTCATGGTTGAACATTAGAAGTCATGCCCCAAACGTGGAGGCTCTGCCGTAGTCAGGGTGTTGGGCAGGGCTGAAGCCATTGCACACAGCAGAACGTAGCCTGGAGTGCACTCTCTCTGGTCCTCATACAGCCCAGTAGCCCTGAGATACAGGCTGTGCATAGGACATCCTAGTACCAAGCCCCATGTTTCTTGTGGACCCCTGTAATCCCTGCTGAGGACCACATAAGAGTTAGTGGAAAGGCAACTCACATCCCGATTCCAACTATCCTCCAGACCTCCCGCTTCACCCCATCAATCTACTGCCCTGTGTAGCCTCTTCAGTCTATACCTCCATTACACTCTTCTGAGCCATGGTCTTGGTGGTAGCTCTCTGTCTCTGAGCTTACTTCTACCAGATCAGTTCAGCTCACAGTAGGAACCTCACCCCTCATCCTCCTCTTGTCTCCCCAGGTTGTCCTGAAAGATCTGGAGGTGCTGGCAGAAATTGCTTCCTCCCCCGCAGGCCAGACCGATGACATAGGCCCACCTGATGGTCCTGATCTCCGCATCAGCCACTCAGAGCTTCTGGTGCCCACCTCTGGCAGAACCAGCATGCTGAATCCTCCCAGTAAGTATGCCTTTGAGACCTCCTGTCCCAGGGGCCTGTAAAATGCTAGTACTGGACCAGGAAGTTCTTCAGTCTATCATTTATGAGCCCCTGAGTTGTACCAGAGTATAAGGGATCAGTAGATTTCCTGCCCACGGTCTTGTCACCATAAAAGAGACAGCCACACCTCGTCCTCTTGCAGTCTTCTGGCTCACACTCCACCATCCCCTTAGAACACATCCTAATTACTGTTTTCTCTCATCTTCTTGTACCTTCGATGCTTTGGACCCACTGGCTGACCATAAACCATCAGAGGCAGCTGATGGTTTCTTACCTAGGCAGTGTCTCTCCAGACAGTCTCTGGTCTCACAGGTGGAAGAGGCTATACAGACATTTCACTGAGAAGCTCAAAGCAACTCTCAACATGGCAGGCAGCCCAGGCAGGACCCAGGATGACTCAAAATAACAGGCTGTTTCAGCCTAGTCCTTGGAAGTAGCCAATGCATTCTGAAGGCTCATCTTTTGTGTTCTTTCCATACAGCAGGTGGCTCTTTTCCTTGGACAGCTCCTCCCCTCCCAGGCAGACATCACCTCTCTCTAGCAGGTGATCCTAGAAAAAGCCCCAGGACATCAGTTGATAGGAAAGTACCCAGTGAGGCTGGGTTGTCTGCCTGAGTGTGTCATCCCCTCTTGACATCCACACACCAAGTCTTCTTCGGTGTTACACAAGCTCAGGACCTATCAATGACAGCATCATTCTGCAGCCTCATCCAACTGATGGCAGGTCTATAGACCATCTACCTGGCCCAGTAGAAGCTCCTTGGGCCTATTTGTTCAGAGATTAGGCCATCTGAAAAGTTGAGGGTGTCACTAGATTCCCAATGCCAGGTCAGATTGCAGAAGGCACATGTATCAAAGACACTTCCCCATTACACGGAAAGCCCTGGCCTCCTTAGCCCTGCAATCGCCACCTCCCTGTGTGTTCTGCCTGTGCTGGAGAGGGGAGTGGGGGCTGTAGCAGCAGCCTGCTTCCTTCTTTTCTCCCTATTTCCTCAGGACACTATTGTTTGCTTGGGAGCCCAGTTTCCTCTGATCTCCAAGTCATGACAATTAGTGGTCACCATGGTCAGGTCAGAGAAGCATTTCCTACATCCTGACCCCCCAAGATCCCCATGGGGCTCCCACCCTTGTCCCTCAGCACAGGAGTACACTCTCTACCCTCTGTCCCCAAGTGAGCACAGGGGACCCAACCTGAAGTTCCTGGGAAAGATAGCAGGGATGTTAGTCACAGGCGGAAGGGCAGACTAGAGTATGGGAAGGAAGAAGGAAGGGCTCTTCTTGGAGGGAGGGGGTCACAATGAGTGGAGGTCAGGGAGGAAGCCAGGGAAAGGGACCTTGAATCAGCTCAGAGCTCTGCCCTACCATCTTCTACACCCTCTGAATGGAGACATCCAAGCCCTATAGCTCAGAATAGCACTGGCTCTCCCAGGATCTTCTGATCTGACCTATCTTCTGTGAGGTGTGGTTTTTTCTTCCTGGGCCCAGAGAGCTTGGTGAGCTGGGTGTCAGTGGCTTATGCCTATAATCCAAGCTACTCGAGGAAGCTGAGATCTGAGGATTGCAGTTTGAAGCCAGCCCAGGCAGAAAAGTCCCCATGAGACTCTTATCTCCAGTTAACCACTTAAAAACCAGAAGTGGTGCTGTGGCTCAAAATAGTAGAGTGCTAGCTTTGAGCAAAAGAGCTCAGGAACAGTGCCCGGGCTCTGAGTTCAAGCCCCATGACCAGCAAAAAGAGGGGGGGGGGGGTTGGTGATTCAGACATAGACATTGATTCCCACTAGTGAAGGGATGGCCTAGGGAACTACTGTAGGTACCCAGGCTAGAGTTATGGTCTAGCAGTCCAGAGTTGGGGTCCTTGAGGGCTCTAAACATCAAGCAACTACAACTGCTAGGGGATAACTTTGCTGGACGTAGTGGCACACACCATGAAGGATAGGGGCTAACAATGCTGAGATGGTAGAGACTTGCCTCAGCCTGCCAAGGCTGACAGACTGGCTCACATCAGCTAGGGACCCACTTGGAATTCGTAGAAAAACAAGAAGTATGCCAGATGGGAAGAATTTCCATCCTGGGAAGAACACCAAGGAAATGCCTGCAGCCAGTAGTGCTTCTTGCTTTGAGAATACACAACAGGCCAGGCACCAGTGGCTCATCCCTATAATCCTAGATACTCAGAAGGCTGAGATCTAAGGATCACGGTTCCAAGCCAGCTGATGCAGGGAAGTCCATGAGTCTCTTAGCTCTAACAAACTACTCAGAAAGCCAGTGGCTCGAGTGGTAGAGTGGGTAGCCTTGAGTGCAAAGAGGTTCAGGGACAGTGCCCAGGCCTTGAGCTCAAGCCCCAGGACTGGCAAAAATTAAAAATTTAAATTAAAAAAAAAAAGAATGCGTAACACCTTGAGCCATGAGCTCTTCGTCTGAGCCTATATTTGTGCTTCAAGGCTGTGAGAACCTCCAGGCAGAAGCACATGTGTTTACATGTGCGAGTCCACAGCTGGCATCAGAATACGCAAGTTGGTCCATGATTTTGAAAGGTCAAGCTCAAACCAGTAATAGAAGAATGCAGGGGGAGGAGGAGAAAAGGAATTCAGGAAGCCAGAGTGCCCTTTCCCCTCTCCTGCCCCAGCTGTCCTGGGAAGACCCACACCAGGCGCCGAGGACACGCAGGGTGGTGTTTAGTTCAGAAAGCATGCAGGAAATGTACATTTGTTCCTCTGCTGGCTGCTTTTCTCCAAAGGGCCTCTCCAGCCTGTCCAGAGTCATCATGTCTATTCTGTATAGCATGCAGCCTGTCCTGTAGGGCCAGCCCCTCCTGTCTGGATTCTGCTTTCTTTTGGCTCTCTGGGTGTAGCTCTGAGGCTTAGTGCTGTGTCAGGGGAGATTGCTCTATGCTGTGAAGAGACTTTCTGGGACACAAAGAAGGCAGGGAGCCTGGTAGAAATGAAGTCAGGACATCTGCAGGAAAGGAAATGGCCCTCCTATGCACATTAGGTTGGTAAAGGCAAATGGTGCAGATCGCACATAGCAGTGGGGAAGCAAGACCCATGCCATGCCTGGGTGGCTACTGGGCTGGCCTGAAAGCGCCGCAGCTGCGGGCCCCAGGGCCCTGGAGGCAGAGTTGCCCACGTGAGGTTTGCCTCTCCCCTGGCCTAATGTAAACAGCTCTCCCGCCAGTGCAGAGGCTCAGGTCTGGATTCTCCCATCCTTCATTCCTGACCAGCGAAGAGCTACTTCAGGATCAACAGAGGGATCTGCCTAGGCAAGTAGCTCTGGGAGAAACTGGCAGAGGACATGTCTCCCTCTCCCCTGGGGCTTGGCTCCTTCTTGACCCACTCAGGAGGGGCCCCGGGAAGAGGGTACAGTTCCCAGGCCTTCAGGCCTTCCCAGACCTCGAGCCTATGCAGGAAGCTTAACGGGACCAAGGAGGCCCCTGGGATCAAGCCCATTGTCTTCCCGGGGACTGGACAACTCTGCTGCCAGAGGAAGAGCACCTACACCCGAGGCGATCCAGACTGGAGGAGATGCAGAGCCGAGCACAGCAGCAGTGCGGTCGATGATCACCCCAGAGTAATGCTTGCCCCCGTCTTGGTGGGACAAGAACCACTCGTGGGAGCGCACATTATAGGCTCACTGGTCCCAGATGTCTCATCTCTAGCTCTAATACTGGGCAAATGAAATCTTCCATTGCATTCCTTGCAGTCTGGGCCCCTGTGGCCAGATACCAGCAGTGTCTTCATGTTGCCAGACAACACATTCTAGAAGAAATCCTGAGAGCCATCTCTGGATGTTTCCCCTGGGAGTAACGGTGGAAACTGGCTGTCAGCATTGGTGGCACTCTCACCGGGACAGCAGCTGAGCACTCGATGTGGGGTGGCTGAGCCTGACTCCTCATGACAGTGCTGAGAGGGAGCACTCTCGTCATCCTTGGAGCAGGGATAGTGACTGGCATTGCGTTGTGACTAATAACCTCCTAGCCACACTCACAGCCCTGCAGAAGCCTGTGTCACAAGATGAGGAGTAAGGAGGTGGTGGTCCAAGGCTAGGCTGGGTGCCTCCTTGGGGACCCAGCCTGGCGGTTCCTAAGGAAGCCCCTCCTGTCCTCGCAGTGACTTCAGGGGCATGCCCATTGTGGCCTCAGGTCACGGAGCACTTGATTTCTGGCTCTCCCCTCTACTCACTGCAGTTGCTAAGATCCTTTGCCGTGAGGCACCTGGGAACCACCACATAAACTGACTGAGAGCTCCCCTGTTGATGGGGCTGTGAGGGGCTTCATTCTATGAGCACTCCAGCCAGCTCCAATAGCCTGTTCTCTGTTCTCCAATAGCCTCCCACTCACTCCCATATGCCTGGCAGAGCTGACCTGTGCTCCCTCCTGGCTGTGACCTCCTAGACCCCTGCTGCTCCTCCTCAGTGACCCAGAGTTGTCAGAACTGCAGTCAGCATGGCCAGCCCTGCCTCTCAAGAGTTGGATTTTACCAGGATCACAAAGGATCCAGCTCAGGGCACAGGCTCACATTTACTCATCTATGAATCTCCAGCATCCAGCACCCAACAAGGATTGGCACTATTTTTTGGAATTCATTTAAAGGAAGGGAGAGAGGCACTGTCACAAAGGATGAGCTCACCGCCCGGGGTACTGACCTCTTGGGCCCTAGGTACCAGGCCTGCGTGACCGGCTCCCTCCCTCCAGGGCTGCCCTCCATTCCGCCCTTGCTCTGCTGCAGCAACTGCCCCTTCCTGGTAGCAAAGGGCTGTGCAAACCCACTGCTGCCCTGTCAGCTAGAAATCCCTCCCTCCCATGCCCCCGTGTGACTCATTAGCATCCCTCTTTCTCTGAGCCATGCACCTGCAGCACCTCCTGGATGTGGGTGAGGCCCCATGCCCCTGTCCTTACTGACCTCAGCAGGGCCATCCACAGATACAGTGATTGCCTCCTGAATCAGCTCCCCAGGTACTGTTGCTGTTAGATCGATCGTTCGTCCATGCAGCCATGGGGTTTGTACTCCTGCCAATTGAACAGATATCATCAGCTCCCCCTGGTCCAAGCCTCAGTTTGGCCTCCCTTTCTCCTGGCCACTCTATTCTGTGTGGAAGCCATCCCTTCTGCATCTGTCCCCTTTGACCCACACAAGCCTCCCAGTCATGCTGCTGCTTCCATGAAGCACTTCCTGTGCCAGCTATGGGCACACTCCCTACCCTCGGGATGGTTCACAGATGAGAAACTGGCCTCAAGGAAGCCTCACTGTCTCCACCACCCTGCTAGCAGCGGCAGGGCCTGGATCTAATCTAGGCCCTTGTCCTCTCGGGGCAGCAGCTCCAAATGCCCACCCAGTAGGGGCTGTCCAAGCACAGGGCCCCAGCCCCACCGGGGAAGGAGAATGGAGAATGGGGCAGAAACCTTGCTGAGCCTGCACTGGGTGGCTAATGTTTTCGCATCTGGTTCTGTTGAACTGTAACTCTCGTTGTGTATTGAGGCCAGAGCTATTTTTATCCTGACATGTGAGGTTCCTTCACGTCATAGCCACAAATCTCAATCCAAAACATCCCAGGAAAGCTTGTTTGTGAGACGCACTAGATTCTCATGTCGCCACATCAGGTTTCACTTAGCAACATCTGCAGGGCTGGCTCCCAAGCCACCACCCCACTGGCCTGCCTTTGTATACAGGGGGCTCCCCACAGCATCTGTCTATCCCTGAGCAGCCGCTTGGTCACGTGAGCTTCCTGCCAGCGCCAGGCAGGCTCCTCCGTTGCTCAAGCCAGAAATGCAAGGCAGATCTGTTTAGCTAAGGGACTGTACCCTTTCTCACAGACCTGCCCTCTACAGAATCAGGAAATGGAAACCCTGCGCTCCTTGACGCCTCAAGAGAGAGCCTCCTTGAGACACACAGCCAGGTTCTTCCTGCCCTCTCTTCTCCTCCTCTGCCTGATAGTCCTCATCAGGTAGCTTTCCCACCATCTCAAGTGGCACACGAGCCTTTGCCACCCAGAATGCTGGTCAGACACTGCCTCTTAGCATATCCATGGGGGCAGTGTTGAAGGACATGCTCTGAGCCTAGACACTGCATCACATTGCTGCAGCTACACTTCTAGGCCATCTTTGTTTTCTCTCAGCCTCATCTGAACCTGCAGCCCTAGCTAAGAACCTCCTTCCTTAGGTTGTCTCAAGCCAGTGAGCTCTGAAGACTTCAGAGTCAGAGAGCCAAGAGGGATACCAAAGTGGGGAGAGCATGTAGGCCCTGGCCCTGCCCCTAGTGGGCATTCAGATGGCTCCTTTATTTGTCCAGGAAACCCTCCCCAGGCTTCTGTCCACGCATCCTTCTCCTTCTTCCACTAATAGTCACCATGCATCTGGACTCTGAGAGTCCATTCTTGGCCCAAAGCAGGAGCTGGTAGGTAAATCTAGAGCGGCCCTGTGTCTTTCTTCCTGTGTCCAGTCTGTCAGCTGGGGAGTCACAGTGGCCCCCTCTCCTATTCCTCCCAGCATCAGGACAGTGCTCTGTAGATCTGAAGTCTCCGCACTCAGACATTTCCAGACAATTCCCCCATCTTTCATTGTGAGACTTAGGAAATGAGAGAAATCTGCCTCATGCAGTGCTCTTGGATAGGAGACATTTGCTAATAAAAGCAGCCCGTGTTTATTAAGTACAGGCTGTGTGGGCAGGTCAGGCCCAGTACGTATTTATTTTGTCTCATGTCATAGGGGCTCTTACTGTCCCCACTTGCAGACAAAGAAAGTAAGACTAGCTGGGTGCTGATGGCTCATGCCTGTAATCCTAGCCTCTCAGGGGGCTGAGATCTGAACATCTCAGTTCAAAGCCAGCCTGTGCAGGACCATCCATGAGACTCTTATCTCCAGTTACCCACCAGAAGTGGAGCTGTGGCTCAAAGTGGTAGAGCACTAGCCTTGAGCAGAAAAGCTCAGGGACATCGCCCAGGCAATGTCAAGCCCCAAGACTGCCAACCCCCCCCAAAAAAAGTAAGAAATTGAGAGAAAGAAACTAAGATTAAAGAACCTCAGGGCCTGTCTGAATGAAGATTCTGGGCCCAGATGGCCCCCACCAGGGAAGACTTCATTGTGGCTTTTCCTTACATTGCCTCCTTTGTTTTATAAATGCTTTGGAACCTAAATGACCCTAGGCCTGGAAATGGGATGGGTGAGAGGTACACTAAGTAGCAGGAAGAGGACAGAGACCCAAGGAGCCTTTGCAGATGTGTACCTAGGGGAAGTTAACTAGGTTAGTGTTCACCCATACCTACAGTGTGTGGAGCCAACAGCCAGGCTCTTCTGGGCTACCACTAAATCGCCTGAGGGTGAGGATGGAGAGGTGGCCCTGCTTTACAGCTATATCTGCAGCCACCTCTTCTGAGATCAGCCGGAACAGCCCCAGCTGTGCCTGGGGTAACTCAATCTGTAAGAATGTGACACTTGATTCTGCAAACAGCCCCTCTGGGCCAGGGAGCAGAGACTATTTGCCATTCCAGAGTCACTCAGGACTTCCCCCAGGCTGGCCTTCCCAGGCAGGGACCCAGAACAAAGCAAGCCAAACAGCAGGAAGTACTTGAGGCCTGCCCTTGACAGGGCTCCTCATAAAGGGCTTACCCCATCAGCATTCACTGGGGCTGTCTAACCGGGCCTCAGGATGGAGAATGGCTGGATATGGAGGTAAAGAATCCTGGTAGAACTGTCCCCAGTTGACAAAAATGCCTTGTCTAGTTCACAGCCACTTCCATATAAGGACCAGGAACGAGAGCCTAAGGCACGGTCTGAGTGCAACACAAAAGGCAGAACTCTGGGAGGAGTATTTCAGTGCTGCTGTCTGATCAGCAGCCAGATAGCTCCTCCGTGAGACTCGCTCATAGTGCTTGAGAACTTACATGTGCTTCCATTAGCAAACTTTGAGCACCTCGCCTACCTTGAGCTGGCTCCTGGTCGCCCCTTTCATGGTACAGGGGGCATGGTGTGACTTCCGCAGGGCTCGTGGGCAGAGAGACTCTGGCTCTGAAACTGTTGCCTTAAAATGTCTCAGACACTGCAAACAAAATGATGTTTTATCCATCCAGCATGTTACTCAGCCACAAGAATGGTGAATGAGTGAATGGATGAATGAATGAACTGATACATACTCTAACAAGGGTGAATCTTGATAAATACATGGCATGAAAGAAGCCCTGTGCTGTAGGGCTTGCTGTACATGTGAATCAGCATGTCCACAGCAGCAGAAAGTAGATCCTTGGTTTCCAGGGCTTGGTGGAGAGAAGAACAGGAGGCGATTTACAATGAATGCAGGGATTTCTGTAGGAAGTGATTTAAAAAAAAAAAAAAAGTTCCGAAATTCATGGTAGATGTTGTAAAACTTTGTGGCTCAGTTTGACAAACAAGTGGGTTTGGGCAGACTGTCTGAAGATTCCCATCCATCTCACTTCTTCGTATCATGCATTAGAAAGGAAGGGGGCATCCCATGGAGTATACGGGAACCCCATGACAGGACCATCCAAGCATCCTGCCAGCCATTTCTTCCCCAGCACTGGAAACTTCACTGAGGATACTACCCCTGCAGGAGTGGGCTGAAGGGGTGGCTAAGTCTGGCTCCTGGCATGTTTTCAGCTGAGACACAGACCAAAGTACTGTCTTTGTGCTGTACAGCTCAAAGCTCTGCAGGTTCTCAGAGTTGTACCCTAAAAGAACATCTTTGCCTAAATGAGAAAAAAAAGAGTGTTTGATTTCCAAACGTGAGATGAAGACTGAAACACTTGGCACTGTTTTGTCTGTTTGCTGTCTATCTCAATGGTATGCACACAGTTTCTGGTTTTCTCAAATAACTTTGGGAAAGGAACCTGCCCTTTGCATCTTATGGATTTGTTAGTTTCATTAACCATAGAGAAGATTGTGTCTACCTTTCCACTCTGTTGGCTTTAACTTGCTATTGCCCTCTTGTAATTTACTGAAACAATGAGTAGAAATTTGTTTTAAGAAAAAAATCATTGGGCTGGGTAGGTGGCTCAGTGGTAGAGTGCTTGCCTCACAAGCTTGAGTCCCTGGGTTTGATTCCTCAGCACCACATAAGCAGAAAAAGCTGGAAGTGGTGCTGTAGTTTAAGCAGTAGAGTGCTAGCCTTGAGCTGAGGGACAGCATCCTGGCCCAGAGTTCAGACCCACAAAAAAAAAAATCATAGTACCTAAGCAGGGTCTTTTTTTTTTTTTTTTTTTTGTCAGTCATGGTGCTTGAACTCTGGGCCTGGACGCGCTGTCCCTGAGCTCTTCAGCTCAAGGTGAGTGCCCTACCACTTGAGCCACAGTACCACTTCGGTTTTCAGTGGTAAATTGGAGATGAGTCTCATGGACTTTCCTGCCTGTGCTGGCTTTGAATCTTGGTCCTTAGCTCTCAGCCTCTTGAGTAACTAGGATTACAGACATGAGCCACTGACTCCCGCTAAGCAGGCTTTTTTTTTTTGGGGGGGGGGTCGGTCATGGGGCTTGAACTCTGGGCTTCAGTACTGTCCCTGCACTCTTCAGCTCAAAGCAAGCACTCTACCACTTGAGCCATAGCGCCACTTCCTAAGCAGGCTCTTTTATATAAGATGTTCACTATGTGGTTTAGGTTGGATGGAGGAATAGACAGGTAGATGAGTGTGTTTGCAGGAAACCACATTGTCTTTTTGGTTGGTTGGTTTAGTGGTGTGACTATGTGCATGTACATACATACCAGTACTGGGGCTTGAACTCATCATTTTCTCTCTCTCTCTCTCTCTCTCTCTCTCTCTCTCTCTCTCTCTCTCTCACTCTCTCTCTCACACACACACACACACTGCTTTTTGGCATTTATAGTTACTTGTATTCTTCATATTTCTCATCACCCTGAGAACACATAATTAAATGAATCCTTGTCTGTCTCTTTCTCTGAAGGTACCAAAGGCTTAGAATGCTCTCCTTCCACTCCCACCATGAACTCCTACTTCTATAAGTTCATGATCAACCTTCTGCAGCGGTTCAGCAGTGAACGGAAGCTCCTGGAGGTCAGAGGCCCTTTCATCATCAGGTCAGTCCTGCACGCCTTCTGCTCACGTAACCTCAGCTTTGCATTCCACACTACATGAGGTTCCGAAAGTGGTCCTTCTTTCTCCTTCTCCCCACCTTTACATCTGTTTTTTAAAAAGTGAAGGAGGCTGGGTATGGTAGTACATACCTGTAATCCTAGCACTGGGAAAGCTGAAACAGGAGAATTGAAAGAGAAAAAGAGACACACAGAAAGAAAGTTTGTTCCCTCTTTGAAGAGCAAACTGTACTAATGCCCAGCCTGCATGGAGCTTCAAGTTAGGAAAGCATCAAAGAGCTCATTTTGCTGTTAAAAAAAAAAAAAAAAAAAAACCAGAGAGGGTTTCAGGCTTGTAGACTGTGCCAGGAATTTGGGGCCTTACCCAGAGGTCAGCAAGAAGCCATCACAAGGGCACAAGTAGGGAAATGACATGAGCAAATTTCTGATTGGAAGGATTGCTGTGTTGCTGGGAGAATGGGTTGGAAGGGCCAGGGTGGGTGGAAACAAGTTGGGAGGCTGTGATCTAAGTGAATCTTTGGCGGGGTATGGGAGCAGCAGTGGATTTAGTATTGACAGACGACTGATCTCAACAGGGAGTAAAAAGAAAGGGAATCAGGAATGACACTCGGGTCCTGATTTGAACCACTGAGCAGGTTGTGGTAGTCTCTGAGGTAGGATCCCTGGAGAATAGCAGGGAGTGGAGGGTCTATGAACTCAGATAGCTTTGGAGTCATCAAGAGAAAGATGACAAAGCAGTAGTTTGGTGCACCTGGCTCCCCAGAGAGACCTAAACCAAGAGACATATGTGGATCTGGACAACTCGATCAAGCCACTCAACAGATACTGAGCCCCTGCCCTGTGGAAAGTGCCGTTCTAGATGATTCAGCCTTTGCTGAATCCAGAGGAGTCAGAGGAGCTGAGTGAGAACTCAGGAAAGGGGTCTAAGGCCAAGCCATCAGGAGATGGAGTGTGTGATGGCTGAGTAGGGGAACCCGAACAAGAGTCGGAGAAAAGCCAGAGAAATGAAAGGTAACAGAGGAAAGAGGGAGCTGGAGGGAGGCCTGAGGAAAGACGAGACCTGAAGTAGATCTGCTGGGAGCTGGAACAGCAGCTGAAGGAGTGGGGGCCAGAAAACGGAGGCCCTGATAACACAGCATCATGATGGAGAAGCGCACCTTCGAGGGAGATGAAGCAGCAGGCTGCCCAAAGGCCCAGTGCAGGGGTGAGAACACTGTGTTGAGGGCCAAAGGATTTCGAGGTAGGGGACAGGTGACAGTAAGAGGAAAAGGCTTCTGAAGGAATGTCCCTGTGGTAGCAGGGAGGAGGCTTTCACTCCCTCATCCTCCTCTGGGGCTTTCAAGAACAAAGTTTCTCAATCCTAGAATTTGGGGCATTTGGAGTAGGATAATTCTTTGTGATGGGGTGTCCACTAGAAACCAGTAACATCTGCTCCCAGCCCATTTGGGGCAATCAAAAATGCCTCTGACCTGAGGACCTAGCTCAGTAGTCAGTGCTTGCCTCGCTTCCACAAACAAGGCCCTGGGTTCGATCTCCAGCACTACCTCCAAAACACAGTATCTCCAAACACTGCCACATGTCTCCTGGGGAACAAACCAGCCCTGTTTGAGAACCACGGTTAGAGACAGAAACAGATTCGTAACCTTGTTGGCCAAAAGAGAAAGATTTCTGCAGTTTGTATTTCCATACAGCTAAGCTGTCTTGGGGAATCGAAGTAGACATCAGATGTTGATGCAAGAGCTCCCCCCTCCCCAGCCCCCCATTACTCCCAACCAGGAAAACAGTGGAAACGTAACAGGTACCTTCGTGTTGTTTTCTACGCTGCAGAGGTACAGACACAGGAGCCACGGGGGATGGGGGGGCACTTTGAAGAGAGCAGGTGCAGCCATGGACTGGGCTACTCTGAGTTTTCTAGGCCATCTAGCTTCATTGCCCAGTCAAGTATGAGGAGTGGGGCTCGGGGTAGTAACCAGCATCCCCAGACTGCACAGGGCAGAAGTGCAGGTGACACGGACATGCTTGGGTGTCCTCCCCACCCGTTCAGTTCACCTCCCCAAAGTTCGGTGACATGGGCAGCCAAGCTCCCACCATGTTCCCTTCACTACTTCCAGAGACTCTGCATCCTCTCCTGAGCATCCTTCACTCGTGGCTATCTTCATTTTGCAGAAGAAATGAGGAAGCAGTATGCCTCTGGACTCAGTATGTCCCGCACGGCAACTGCTCACTGTTCATGGATTGCATTGGGTTCTGAGAGGCATTGAGCCCAGCCTCCAAGCCAGGCCTCACTCCACGCTGGCTCCCACCTCACCACAGAGTCTCTCTCAGCCCTGGGCACCAGCACAGAAAGAACTCAGTGGGCCAGGCTAGGCAGAACCTTGTGGCTGGGCCCCTAACAAAAGACTTGAGTTTCTTCTGGGGTTTTGCTCCAGTTGTCCAGCCTGCCATCCCCCAAAAGCAGCCTCGCACCTGTGATGACGTGTTGTTACTGACAGCCACCTAGATTAGGTTCCTCAGGGCCAGCCCAGCCCTTAGTCGCCTGCTAAGTCAGCATGCCCAGCCACTGCTAACTAGTCCCTGGTCACTGTCCTGGGCACCCAGCATAACTCTCAGGACAGGAAACCCAGCATCTGACATGGAGGAGGCCTGGCAGTTAGGCAGCTTCCTCCCTTCTTCCCTGATTGTACATAGGGCTGAGGGAGGCCCTTTGGCAAACCTTGAGGCTTAGGGGCAGGGCTCAGCCTGCCATCCTGCTTTGTCCTCCTTCTCTGTTGATGGCTTTTAGAGAGGAGCGTGTGAATGGTACACACAGACTACTTCAATGGAGCCACAGGCCTGATAAGGAATGCCATAAATGGTTTCTCTTCCCTGTCCTTCAGCGGTTAGGTTGTACCTCTCTGCCCCTAAAATTGAAGATAGATTGTTCTAGTGAACAGATTAGAAACCATGATTTGTGCAGCAATGTCTTTAGCAGAGGAGCAGTTTCCATCTGTGGAGGACAAAGGGGTCTGCAGCTCTTAAAAGACAAGCATCTGGTGGCTTTCTTGTATGGAGGGAGTAACATGATTTCCCTCAGGTCCCAGGAGCTTCTCCTTGCTCCATGCTGCTTTCCTAGGCCATACCTTGAATAGGAACCCAGATTCCAGGTGGGTCTTTCCTGTGGACAGGAATCATGTTGAGGGGAGGGGAGCTAGTGGCTTCAAAACTCATCTCTCAGCCAATCTGTACAGACTGGTTTCAAGCCCTTCTCTTGGTTACAGAGTCAAAGCCAAGCCCACAGGAAAGATAGGATGCAGGGGGCAAGGTACTGTGAGGAGGCTGGTGCTACATCCCTAGGCCTGCCCACACTCCTGTAGGGCCTGAGGAAAAGTGTAACTTTTGGAATCAAAATTAGGTTTAACCCCGTTCCTCCCATCTGTAACCATGTGATCTGCCCCTGACATGGCCTTGGCCTCTGTCTCCATCTCCCCTGGTGGTCCATGGTGGGGTGCAGTGGGGAGTGGGGGTAGAAATACGACCTTCTGGGAGGAGAGCTGACTGCTATGCCAGGGCACCCACCAGCACCCAGCCCGACTCCCCTAAACCAACTCTGCCTGAAGTAGGTGTTGGTGTGCATTGCCCTCCTCGGGCCTCTTCCCACCCTCCATGCTAATGCTGGCTGAACAAGCCCAGGCCTTGTCTGCCCGTGAACCAGCGCACTTATACGCGGGAGAAAAGGAGAGGAGGGAGAAAAGCCAGCCTCTTTGATAAGCTGTGATATGAACTCCAGCATAACCCAACAGCTGTGATCTTTACAAGCCCGCCTCTGTGCTGGGAAGTAGCTAGTCTGAAGACACTCCACTCTGCCTGCCAACGCAGCCCTCTGGCCAGCGTCCTTTGGCTTCATCAACTGTGCTTTTCCCCCTCCTCTTCCTCCCTGCTGCCTTGCAAAGAGCACTTGCCAGAGAATGCTTTCATTTTTAACGAGCCTCTGTGCGCTGTGAATGCGAGGGCCTTGACCCGACCTCCCAGCTGATGGTAGATGAGTCTCCAGCACCCTCCCAGGCAAAGGGGCTTCAAAACTGAAGCAGGCATCCGGAGAGATGAGCCAGCGCCCAAGTGGGAAAGGAGGAAGTGGTCATGAGACTTACTTCCTGAGACCCTGGTCCAGAGAAGCCCAGCGATAAGACTTCCAGTTTGCTCTCTCCCTCTGTGAGTGCAGATAGACATGACAGCCTCACCCACCAAGTGTTTCATTTCTTATATGTGCCCTGATTAATACTGTGCCACACACACACACGCACGCACGCACGCATGCACTCACGCACACACGCACTGCCAGTGTCCTAGGTTCCCTTAAGTCAGGAAGAAGGGGATAGGTTGAGTAGAGAGTTGATTGGCCACTGAGGTGGATAATGGGACCAGGCAGCCACTAGAAACTAGACTAGCTTGTAATTGCAGGGACTAAGGAGGAGGAGAAGCAGCCCTTTCAGACAGTAATTGGGAAATTCCACTTTGCTGGCCTTGGACCTTCTACAGTTCATGTGGGCTGACCCTCTCCCAAGCCCAGTACCTCTCCTCGCATCCGGAGATCCTCCAGACTTGCTAGTTTCTGGAGTCCCCTTCCTGAGGGAAAACTCGCTGTTGACCATGCATATTCAGACTTGCCATTCACCTGCTGGGAGCACTGGCCAGGGCCCCAGAAGCCCATTGCGCTGGTGCAGGTAGAAGGCAAAGGGGGAATAGTGTCAAGACCTGCTACCCTGGTTGATCCACATTTCAGAAAAGCATGCTTTGATCCCAGGTACCAGATCATAAAAGTCTGAAGAGGTCTCATTTCTTTTCCTCTCACCCCTCTAAAAGATTTCCTTGTTTGCTCAGAATACAATAAATCACAGGCAAACACACACCAACATTAAAATAGTCCTCGATTCTCCTACCCAGACTGGAGATGGGTCTTGATCTTTTATTAGTTTGTAGCCATATTGATTGGGCTCCCAGCTGAGGGA